ATGATTAAGGTCCTAACCCTAGCTCACATGCCCAAATCCTGAAAGCATCAAAGCAAAGCTGCCCAAGGCAGAAGCACAAAAAAATGGAAATGTAATGCTGGCATTTTAGCGATATGTTTGGACCCACACAAAGAGTCAAATGCTGTGCTGTGCATACAAAGATATCTGTTCTCTAGATGGGGTCTGCTGATGCCGCTTCTTTTGAAAAAGGATGTTGTGCTCTCACTGAATTTATCCAGAGATCACTGCTCTTGCTGATGGCCCCTGCCTAGTAGCATTCTGCGGGCATTTTAAGCCCAAAGTAAAAGTAGGTTTTTCTCCACAATACTTTAGGCATTTTCACAATGACAGCTTAAGAGTGTTCTTAGGAAAAGGTCACTGGTTATCATGTCTTTTGTCGGCAAGTATGTAGGAAAGAATAGGCCTTGAAGTTCTTTTCAAAGGTCGCTCAACTCTGGAGCTGGCTAATGTCCCTACAGCTATAGGCCTTGGGCCGAGGACTTCCAGAGCACTGGGAGGCCGTCTGCAATGCCCTTGGTAAAGGAATGGGCCCCAGCTGTTGTGGGACGCCATGGGAGAGACTGGGGAGAAGCCAATCTCAAGGGCAAGATGTTCTGCCTTCCCTTGGATCATAGCACCCAAGGATACTTGTTAACCACCTTGAAGCTGCTCAACCTTCTCTGTGTTGTATGGGCATAATTGTACTTGGATACTTATGAGAAACAAGTCACCATATTCATTCATTCTTCCTGACTTCCAGCAATTCACTTTATTTTATAAATCCTTTTTGACTGCGTACTATAGACAAGCAGTGTACTAGGAACATGAGATATGCATGATGAATGCAGTACTGTGATTTCAGCTCACTGTGGGAAACAAACAAAAACAAGTAGTTCATTGTAATTAGAAGCATATTTACTATGAAGTTAATGAAATATAAGCTGTGAGGTCTATCACTTGCCTTCCAAGGCCCTGAGGGGATGTGCATATGGAATGAGGCTGGGGAGCTGGCTAGAAATTTATCCATAAGCTCACATGTTTTTGTAAAGTTTGGGAAATGCAATATATATATTTTCTTTTTTTCTAAGAAGAATCATAGTTTACAAAGCAATATATATTTGCATTCTGTTTCTTAAAGGAAGTTTCGGTAAATATATAACCTTCATTCTGCTTACAATGCAAGGAGCCATGCATTGATTACCACCTACCAACAGGAGCAAAAACTTCATTCTGCCCTTTTGTGGAAAAGTAAATGTGAGACACGTCTGCACTTATTGTAAACAAACCTGTTCTCATTTGCCTATTTTCTTTCACAATTGCTCCAGGTTTTCTTATATGCAAATAAAAGTTGATAACACTCAGCCTAGGGTGACAGAGGAACCTCTCCATCATTCAAAAGTAGAATTCAAAAGTAACCATGAGAGCAACTCATTGTTCACTAAAAATCTGCCAGTTTAGCTCCCCTGCCTTCCTTGCCACAGAGAGAAAGAAGGGAGGGAATAAAGAATGATAGGCAAAGCAGCATTAATATTATTCTGAGGTCAGATGAATTGGGATGTGGGTGAGATCTTGAGATGAAAATTTAGCTGCAAGAAAATGAAAAAGAAGCCACAATCTGAAGACCCACTGAGGAGGCAGGGCTGGCTGCAGGGTAATGGGCTGGAGGGAAATGATGGGAGATTACAGTAAAACCACCAGGTTTGCTGTGGCAAGGATGGAGATGTTATCATCAGCTATACAGCAGAGAAGCCAGCTGTGATCTGGACATTTTAGGTTGGAGATTTTGAGCCTGACTTCTTTACAAGAACACCATCATCTCTACAAGAGAAAAACATGACAATAGGCAATAAGCAGTGTTAGGAGCCGAATTGTTACTCCCAAAATTCATATGTTGAAGTCCTAACCCTCAGGACCTCAGAATGGGACTGCATGTGAACATAGGGTCTTTATAGAGGTCATGTAATTAAAATGAAGTCACACCCCAATCCAGGATCTGGTGTTCTCATTAGAAGAGGAAATTAGGACGTTGACACACGCCTGGAAGGCCATGTGAAGGCACAGATCAACAATGGCCATCTGAAAGTCAGGGAAAAAGGCCCGAGGAAAGAAAAGAAAACATGGCTGGCACCTTTCCTACATAAACTGTATTTTAAGAGAAGAGAAATAGAAAAAAAATTTTTTTTTTTTTTTTTTTTTTTTTGAGACGGAGTCTTTCTCTGCCACCCAGGCTAGAGTGCAGTGGTGCCATCTTGGCTCACTGCAAACTCTGCCTCCTGAGTTCATGTGATTCTCAGCCTCCTGAGTAGCTAGGATTACAGGCAAGTGCCACCATGGCTGGCTAATTTTTGTGTTTTTAGTAGAGACAGGATTTCACTACGTTGGCCAGGCTAGTCTTGAACTCCTGACCTCAAGTGATCTGCCTGCCTTGGCCTCCTGAAGTGCTAGAATTACAGGCTTGAGCCACCACACCTGATCAGGAAAATTCTTTTTCATAAAAGTAGAGAACACTGGTCCCTGTGGAGTAGCTGCTTTGGCTGGGCATGGAAGTGCCACCCACTGGTCTTTCTTGTTCCCCGATCTGCAGGCAGCGTGGCCCGCAAACAGACAGACTACTCAGACAAGTGCTTCGAGGAGCCCTCTGAGAACTGGCACACCACACTACGCAAACAAACTTGGTTAAAGTTTGCATGTTGCATTAAAAAGAAAAAAGTAGAAATGCAAGCCATTGACTGTAGACTGAAAAAAACCAATTGTAAAACTTGTTTGATAAAGGACTAATATCTAAAATATATAAAGAGCTCTTACAACACAATAATAAGACAATTTAAAATGGGCAAAAATTTGAACAGATGCTTCACTAAAGAAGATCTATATATCATATATCCATAGCAAATAAATACATAAAAATGCTCAACATCATTACTCATTAGGTAAATATAATTTAAAATCACAATGAGATACCTCTACACATCCATGAGAATTACTAAAATTTATTTTTGTTGTTTATTTTTGATTTTTTGAGATGGAGTCTCACTCTGTCACCCAGGCTGGAATGCAGTGACCTGATCTCTGCTCACTGTAACCTCTGCCGCCCAGGCTCAAGAGATTTTCCTCAACCTCCTGAGTAGCAGGGATTACAGGCATGTACCACCACAGCTGGCTAATTTTTTGTCGTTGTTGTTATATTTTTAGTAGGGATGCAGTTTCACCATGTTGGCCAGGCTGGTCTTGAACTCCTGACCTCAAGTGATGCTCCCACCTTGGCCTCCCATAGTGTTGGGATTACAAGTGTGAGCCACCACACCTGGCCAGAATGACTAAAACTTAAAAGACAAAAAATAATGAATGCTAGCAAGGATGGGAAGCAACAAGAACTCTCATACATTGCTGTTCAGAATGCAAAATAGTACAGCCACTTTATGAAGTAAATTGTCATTTTCTTATAGAGTAAAACATATGTTTACCAAATGACCCAGCAGTTCCTCTCCTAGATATTTACCCAAGAGAAATGAAAACACGTGTCACAGAGAGATTTGTATGCAAATGATTGTAGCACTTTATTCCTAAGAGTTCAAACTGAAAATAACCTAAGCGTCAATCATTGAGTGAATAAAAAATAAAATTGTAATATAGCCATACAACAAAATACTACCCAGCAATAAAAATGAGTAAAGCTGCTGATATATACAACATGGGTGAATGTCAAAATCATGATGCTAAGTGAAAAAAGCCATACAAAAAAGGCTACACCTATGATGATGTGTATATGAAATTCTACAAGAGGAAAACCATAGTGACACAAAGCAGATCAATGGTTGTTAGGGGCCAAAAATGAGGAGAAGGGGATTGTTGACTGCAAAGAGATAGGAAGAGAATATTTTGAATGCTAGAACTAGCCTGTAACTGGGTTGTGGTGCTGTACATTTGAGATGATACTACATATACTATAGTGCTTATATACATATGTGATGTTATATACTGCGTATATTTGCCAAAACTCATTGAATGGTACACTTGAAAAGGATGAAATTTATTTCATGTGTATTTTACTTCAGTAAAACTGATCTGACAAGTTGCTTTAAGAAGTCATAACAAATGAAAGGAAAATGGGGATAGCAGAGGCAAAAATATTTAACTGCTTTCACTATTCATATTTAGTAGTGGTAAATTTCCTGCTGCTATTCTAAAATGGTTTGGTGTATAAGGCAGGGTGAAACCAGTGAATAACTGTGGGTTATTCTTATCCTAACTTCCCTTGTTTCCTTGAGAACCTATGCAGGATTATCAGTACAGAAGATATAGATGCAATAGAGAAGCAGTTAAGTAAAACCCCAAGTCTTAAATTGATACAGATATATCAGTATGAACAGATAAAGTACTTTGTTAATCAAAATGCTATAGAAACAACAATCCACTATGGAAGAGTACCCCAGCACCCAATCTCTCATCTTGAAATTCCATTTCCCATGAATAGAAGGCAGGATTTCTTGGAGAAATGTTTGTAGTAGTCCTGGAGTGGGAAATGTACGAGATAAACCTGAAGTATACTGTCAAACCTGACAGTGAAGAAGCTATCAAAGACTTCTGGGATCATGTCAACTCTATTCAGAAATCAATTTAAAGAAACTCCCACTGGGCAAGGAAGGGAGAAGTGGGCTTCAAAAGGATAAGAATTACATTGGATTAAAAGCCTACAGATATATTTAAATGCATGTGTTTATCATGATGTTTACATTTTTTAAAAAACGTTCACCTGAGGATGACAGTCATCTGATTCATTGCATTAAAAAATGGTAAATAAAAAGAAAAAATAGGAATTTATCTTGCCTTTCCTATATGGACTTATTTGGCAACCAAAAAGCAGAAGAGAAAAGTCTCTCTTCAAAATTGTTCCAGCTAATAAATGCAAACAAAATGATAGGACTAGAATATCACCATTCATCTATTCAAAAGTTCATTGGATTGAGGTATTTGGCATCAACAGCTGCTAACATTTGTAAGGGTTACTGCCGAGTTTTAAATAAGGAAACTGAGGCCAGTATAAGAAAATTAAATGCCAATTTATTTAGCTCCTGGATGAGGTTCCATGGTCCTGGGGAAAGGAGCCAGGGAAGTTGCACCAACTTCCCGGGACATGGCATTTTTATGGCTAGGAGGAGTGAGCGACAGCTGGGTGCTCTGATTGACTCCAGGGGAGTGGGATTGAGATGGGGCGGGTTTTCCGGTGGGAGAACCGGCCAGGAGCCTTGCATCAGCTGAAGCCTTCCAGGGGAGCCCTGCAGCAGAGCTAGGTGCCGAGCACAGAGGTGGGCGTGTCCAACCTCCCGACAAGGCAATGGGCCTTACATTCCGACCCTTTTGATGATATAGGACATCGCTTCTTTCTGGCTACTTCCTGCTGAATAGGGGCGAAGTGTGGGAGAAGGGTCAGTTGGCTGGTGACATGGTTGGGAGTCGGACACAGGGGTGAAGCAGCATCTGGTTTACGGCCACCCTGGAAATTTCCCTTATGCGAGCTTGTAGAAACCTGAGGACAAAAGGGGTTAGCATTATCAAAAGACAAACAATGATAATGGGGATGATAATAGGAGCCAGCTAGGTAAGCATGGGGGATTGCCGCCAGTTAAGAGAAGAGCCCGGTACATTTCGCTTTCTTCAGCCGTCTTCTTGGAGGCGATAGAGTGTGTTGACAACTGTGGCTTGAAGCTTCCCTGAGACGAGACCTTAGCGCAAGTAACGCATGCCTTGTGTACCTGCTTCATCGTCTGTTGTAGACCTGGTGAGAAAAAGAGGGGCTGCACAAAGCGGTGCAACGCCTTGGGCCCTATATGTAAGGACTGGTGGATTTCAGTAATAATTTTAGGGGCCTGTTCCTGTGAAAGGGCGATCCTGTCGTTTAAGAAGATCCAGCCCTGATCAGACTCGGTTCCTCCACTTAATATGAAGGCCTGTTTGTCTGATGGTGAGTAAACCGGCGGCATGGCTGTGGTGAGGAACAGGACCAGAGTGGGGGCTACCCTGGTACTGGTTAAGGATTTTGCTGCCGCATCTGCCCTTGCATTGCCCTGGGAAATGGCATCCTGCTGGGCCTGGTGCCCTTGGCAGTGAATGATGGCGACTTCTTTGGGCAGTGATAGGGCCTGCAGGAGATTAGAGATTTGGGTAGAATTAATTATGGGGGACCCCTTTGTGGTAAGGACTTCCCGCTCTTCCCAGAGGGCAGAGCGGCAGTGGGTAATAAGAGTCAGTATAGATATTTGCTCGCTTTCCCTGTGCTAGTGTAAGAGCTCGGGTTAGGGCAATGAGCTCTGCCTTTTGTGATGTGGTTAATGAGTAGTCCGTGGGCTAGCAGGTGGGTGATGGTAGTCTTCAGGCCTTGACGGTGGGTTTTTGAGATGGGGAACTGAGGACGTGAGGGAAAGTGGACTGATGGACAAAGGATGGGTGCTCCCCAGATGGGAGACCAGTCTGATGCCTTCCCGGCCACGTCCCGGAAGGGATGTTTCAGGGCCTCTTGGCTAAGGTGTACCCGTATAACCCCTGGGCCTGGTCACCTCAGACCTTTCAGTCCTGAGTCACCTTTATGCCTTATGACGTCCCCGTGGAACCACGGGTTGAGGTCCACACAAGCCCCGTAGCCTTTAGGCGGTGGGACTGCATATAAACTCACTCACTCACTCGTGCCGGGGTAGGAAGAGAAACTGAAAGTACAGTTACTTAAGGAACGGGAGTTTATATGCCAAAGGGCTGATTTGAGATAGACGTTTTAGTAGTGTAAGCCGGGGATTTGGTCCTGCTGTTAGGCAGGGCCTGGATGATCGGAAGGCGTCCTGGACTGTACTACCGAACACGGGAGAGGGTTCAAGAAGATGGGGATGTCTCCCTCAGATTACTGACCCCCAGAAAACCCCTTACAGGGAGAAGACAAGAGTGTAGGGACGTCTCCTCTACACTCAGGTCCTCGGGATGAGGCCGGGGCCTGGCCCATGGCGAGATGGGAAGGAGTCCCTGACACGGCCGTGATTATGAGCAGGGAGTCCACGAGGCAAGCAGCGGGAGGGGTTGTGGGTAACAGAAGTCTTACCTTGTGGTGGAGCGGGTCCCTGGTCCGGCTTTGGGTGGAGGAATCAGTTTTCCCCAGGAGGGGTCTTACAACTCCTCCCGGGTTTCGGCACAAAATGTAAGGGTTATTGCCGAGTTTAAAATGAGGAAACTGAGGCCAGCATAAGAAAATTAAATGCCAATTTATTTAGCTCCCAGGCGAGGTTCCATGGTCCCTGGGAAAGGGGCCAGGGAAGTTGCACCAACTCCCTGGGGCATGGGGTTTTTATGGCTAGGAGGAGCCAGTAACAGCTGGGTGCTCTGATTGACTCCAGGGGAGCGGGATTGAGATGGGGCGGGTTTTCCGGTGGGAGAACCGGCCAGGAGCCTTGCATCAGCTGAAGCCTTCCAGGGGAGCCCTGCAGCAGAGCTAGGTGCCGAGCGCAGAGGTAGGCGTGTCCAACCTCCCAGCAAGGCAACCGGCGTTACAACATTAAAATAAGCAGAGCAAAAATCAGACATTGTCTGTCTCCTGATGAAAGAACACACCCCCATTCTTTACAGTTTTGTCAAAGGGTTCAAACTCGAGTCTGCTCAAATCTCTGAAACCAACTGTCAAGTGTTAGGAAATACAGAGGAAAGAACAGGCTAAGCTGCACCATGGGCATGCGATCAGCAAAGCCAGACCCTGGAAAACCGTGGGAAACATGATCAACAGCTCAGGTTCTTTCACAGATATATTACAAGAAAAAAAAGTAATGGAAAGATAATCCTGGTGGTTAAAAAAGGTATAGTGAGTTTAAAAATAACTGGGAAGACTAAATTCTGGTGTCTTGGTTAATGAAATTGTGAAGAAACACAAGGAAGTAATTACTACAGAAATCAGAATAGTGTTTATGATTAGAGCATATTATAGGCTGCTGAACCATTTCTCCCCAAATTCATATGATAAACTTCTCACCCCCAGTAGCTCAGGATGTATTTGGAGATAGGGTTTTTAAAGAGGCCATTAAGGTTAAATGAGGTAGTACTGACCACCTCATAGGCTATGGGATGACCACATCAGGACACAGCCAGAAGATAGTCATCTACAAATCAAGAAGAAAGACTTCAGGAGAAACCAAACCTTCCGGCTTCTTATCAGGGACTTGTAGCCTCCAGAACGGTGAGAAATACATTTCTGTTGTTTAAGCCTCCCGGTCTTTAGTATTTTATTACGGCAGCCCTAGTGAATTAACTCAGAGGGAGATGGGAGTTCTGGTTGGATGGGGCACAGATAGAGCACATTGAGGTGGCTAACAACGTTTGATTTCTTGCTGTAGGTGGTGGTTACACAGGTGTTTGCCTTATAATAATTCCTAACCTGTACATTGCTTTGAGTGGTTTTCTGTGTCTGTGTTTTATTTTATAATAAAAGGGCTGAAAACAAGAGTGGAAACAACCATTAGTTGGAAACAAAGATTATCCAGGCCACAGAGGTGGGTGGCTTGGATTACGGTGGTGGTAGAGGGTTTGCAGACAAATGGGTAGATTCCTGGCATCTTTTCTAGGTAGGAAGATATGAAAGAGGGAGACAAAGCGGATGCTATTGGGGATGGGAGCAGGGGAGTGGGTGAGGGTTCAGAGGAAACCACATTGGTGGTAAATTGAAATCCGTTAAAGCCAGCTGATGGGGATATGGGAGCTTATTATACTATTCTCCTTCTGTATGTGCTGAAAATTTTTCATGTCAAAAAAATAAAATGAGGAAAACTGACAACAACAGACTGAAATAAAGTTGCTCTGTCATTATTTTCCATGAGTTGTGCCTATTTACTATTTCCATTGTCACTTTTAATCTTGGCCCATTTTTCCCCGTGTGCTTTTCTGCTCTTGTTTCGTTGAGTTCCTTTGCACCCTGTTGAGGATGCTCAGTGAGTCTCTAAAATGTTCCTCTGATTCCAGTAGCAAATCACTTTCAAAGATCCTCTGTCTTCAGGATGACATTACATTTTTCTTCTTTGATAATATACTTTGCCTAGGCTTTATGTGTCTTTCTTTTCCCCTCTAAGGTTTCATTGTCAAATAAAGGGACACCTATCCCGACCTGTGCTTTCCAATAGAATGGGTTGGGAAGATGGTCATTGGCTCCATTTGCTGTCCATCTGGATACTGAACCTTCTCAGAGCTGCAGTTCAATGGCATTTATATAAATGATTTCTAGGCCAATAGCTGGTATCTGCTATTTTGGCCCTTTTTTTAGAGCAGCCATATATGTATCCCAATGAATACACTTGGGTAATTACATGCCTTTTTATTCTTATCTTAGTTTCTTAGTCCCCATAATCACTGACAATATGTGCAATTTTTCCTTGAGGCATACACGGAGACCCCAGAGAAGAAATTCTCTCTTTTTCATGCCAAGGCGGTTGCATACATTTGTGAAATTGAGCCATGGGAAGAGGAATGAAGCTGGGGGCAGCTCTCAGCCAGTTTGTTAGGGGCTGCCCCATTTCAGCTGTAAGGTTCTTAGGCTAGTACTACTTGCGGCTCATAAAATGTATTCAGGGTTAGCTAGCCCAGAGGATACCACACCTCCAGCATCCCCCATCCATGCACCACTCATCCATCATCAGACACTTTAAAATTTGCTTGTAGATATTCTATTTCCTGAGTCCTGCTTTACCAGGATCCTGGAGCCATGAGCATTTCCCCAGTCTGTTAGAAATAGTTATGCGAGTCCTAAGATTTTGACAATAGTCTAATAAAAACTCCAGTTCCACTGTAATAAGATACTACTTTATGTCTATGAGGATGGCAATAATAATACTAATTTTTTAAAGAAAAAAAACAATTGTTGGTGAGCAGGTACAATTGGAATCCCTGAGCATTCCTGGTGGAAATGCTGCTGCGGTACAGCTATGGCAGAAAACAATTTGGTGATTGCTCAAAAGTTAAACACAGAATTACCATATGCCTCAGCAATTCCGCTCCTAAGTATATATATAAAAAAATTGAAATTGGGGACTTGGACGTATATTCATATACCAGTGTTCATAGCAGCATCGTTCACAACAGTCAAAAAGCAGAAACAATCCAAATGTCCTTCAACAGATGAAGCAACAACAAAATACGGTATATACATACCATGAAATACTATTCAGCCAGCAAAGAAATGAAATTTTGAAATATGCTGCAATATGAGTAGACCATTATGCTTAGTGAAATAAGCCAGACACAGGACAATATTGCGTGATTCCACTGTATGAGGTACCTGGAATAAGCAAATTCATAGAGACAGAAAGCAGAATAGAGGTTACTAGGCGCTGGGTTTGGGGGGGATAAGGAATTATTGTTTAATGAGCAGAGTTTCTGTTGGTGATGATAAAAGAGTTTCACGTATAGATAGTGACAATAATTATACAAAATTGAGAATGTATATAATACCACCAGATTAGATACTTAAAAGTGGTTAAAGTGATAAAATATTGTATATATTTTATCACAAGAAAAAGGTATCCCTTTAAAACAAAACCAAACTCCAATCTGTCACCTATAAAATTTTATGATGCCAATGACAATCATAAAAGTCTTTATTAGCAGGGTAGATGTCTTATCTTTAACATTACTGCGCTGAGGACTGCTGCATACAGTGAAACTGTTGTGCAGCATGTGACCTACGCAACCTTACATAATGCCTCCATCTCCTTCCTATCTAAAAGTGGTGAAAAAACATGGCTTCATGTAATATGATTTTTTAAATATTTTGGATCAATTTGTTGGCAAAATGGCATAGGCTTTCCTAAACTCAAATAAAACATATGAAGAAGCTGGAAAAGTTGCAATCTTAAAACTACAAAAAATTAGAATTGGCTTTTGATCTATTGTGAGAATCTAACAAAATCCTCACTATCTACAAAGTCAATGAAACTGGGTTGATAAATGCAATCACATGACCATCGCTAGAAGCAGAGAAAGGCCCACTGTGGAAGAGGGTCTGCATCTTGCACAACCACAGGGGGCATCAATCATATCCTAGTCTAGGTGACCAGTAAGCTGGACCATCTGCTAAACACAGCAGCCATATCGTGGGAAACTGTGCAAACAATTCCTACTCCACCTTTAGTTCCCCTCTATCCCCTATCTATCCCCAATTCAAAAACAGAAGCCATAACCTCTGCAGAAAATGTTGTAGTTATCTCCCTTAACCTCGGACACTGCTTTTTAAGGCAGCCAGACTAACATTTTCTTCCCTAGTCTATACACCACCCC